AGAGGCAACCAATGTAGAACGCTGTCAACAAGGACAAAGTCAGACATGCCTCCTTTACACAAACCACATGATTCATGGAAATCCGTATATCTTTAACAGGAAACTCATCTATGCATCGCAACTGTCAATTCGATGATATTTCATTCTATTTTCCCAAATGTGCGTAAATCCACATCGACCATGGTGACTCTGGGAACGGGGGGAATGGATTATCCAAAGGCACAACATACCAGTAGATCAGATTGGGATGAACTAAGTGATCCAAAATGTTTACTAGATTTTAATAGATGTTTTTCATAGTAAATAAATTAATTAATCATCTAATCATATTTAATCCCTCATTAAGCAGACACTTTCCACCCAGTCCTCTGTATTGATAAAAGCGTTGTCTCCGGGCGTTGCATTCGGCGAGGCAACGTCCAAACCTATCAAACCTTGCCCTCGGCGCTGCTGTCGACGCCGTTGCCGTCGGCGCCGGCGGAGCTGCCGTTGGGTGACGCAGCACGTGGCTTCATCGCAGGCGTTGGCGTTGCAAGCCTCTGGGGAAAAATGTATAATAGGGGGTTCTGGGGGTATAGGGTTATTCATCATCATCATTAGTACATTCATTTTCACCAATATCATCATACAACAAAGTTTCATGTTAATCTTATTCGTTTTTCATCATATACATTCATCTCATCTCATCTGTTTCTCATCATAGTTTATATCATAGTTTTTGTTTAATCTTGTTCAAATTGTTAGGTCATAATTGTTGTTGAGGTTGATATGATAATGTTTGGTTTAAGATGAGGGGGATAATTGTTTAGGTTTATTCATTAATTTGGGGCTATATTTTTTCCAACCGCCGTTCGCCCCGCTTCTTGGACATCGTGATGTTCTTTGAATACGTCGGGTTTCCCAGATTGCTGGAACATCAAAGTGGGAAAGACAGAGTGGAAGATGTTTGCGAAAGATTGTGGCTTTGAGAAGACACTGTCATCATTTCATTGATGGAGTTTGGAGATTGAAACTCATTCTTTTTTCATTCAGCATTTTGACTCACTCAAGTCGGTTCCATGTGCTCTCACTCGTGTTGCACCTATGGCGCCCAAGAAGGTGGTTCGCAACGTGGAGGAGGATGATGTGGTGCAAGACCCCATGGCTGGTTCCAGCACCGACCTTTCCATTGAAGAGTTGGCAGCGCGTCTTTTGAATATGGACTTGGATGAGATGGAGAAGTATGAGGGTAAGTTCAAGGAGATTGCCAAAGATGCCTTGGCGAAGATGAAGATGGTTCATGACAAGTCCAAGGATTTGAAGAAAGAGGCATCCAAGGAGCAGACCAAAGCCAAGGCAAAATCCAAGGCAGAGGAGGACAAGAAGCGTCGCCAAGAAGAGCGTGATGCTGATGCTGGCATTCACCTGCGTCGTGAAGGTCAGATCACCACCATCAACATCAAGCTCGGAAAAACGATTGGGTTGCTTCGTCAGATGTTGGGTCAGCATCTTGGAATGACCCGCAAGGCAAACTCTTCCATTCGCATTCGTGTTCCAGGCTTTGGTGGTGATGTTTTGACCGAAAAACCATGTCGCACTTTGCTGAAGATTGGGTGCCATGGTGGAATGATGCTTGAGTGGGATATGGTTGCTCCCAGCGGTGCCATCAACAATTCCTCCAACACCAACACCGAGGGATATGGCACCATTCCTTTGCCTGCTCCTATGGATATTGACGATGTGATTAGCAGTGTGCTGTCTGACCAGGATGGCAACGACACAGAAGCCACAGATGACGCTGAGTCGGATGAAGGAGATGACGAACCTGAGACCTTGTAAAGCATCTTCAGCTTTCAAATAGCACCCTTGGACGGAAATGAGCGCTGAAACATCCTCTCAAAATATATGGCTTATCTACTCCAAACTTTTACAGCTGTGTTGATTGAGAGTGGCTCATAAGTCCAAATCTGTGGTGCTGTAGGGATGCGGGAGGGACTTGAAGCATTGACGTACGATACATTTTGATGAAAAAAATTCGTTAAGAACGCTCTTACTGAGACATTTTCATTCAATCAGTTTGCCGTTGCTTGACAGTTCCACTTCTCAGATGTATGTAGTTGAAAGTAGGCACAGTTTTTTGTCTGTAAGCATCCATCTTCATTTCGTTTCAATCCGTAGGCATTTTGCAAATCAATTCGCCGGAAGCCTTTTTTGTCTTGACGAAGTTTGAGTCCGAGAAGCGTTTGGTTAAGGAGCATTGGACACAGCGGATGAAACGTCAGCAATCAGTGATGGTTGAATTCATTGATGGCAATGGCTACACCGAAGAGTTCATTGAGTTCTATGAGACAAAAAAGCTGGGTAGTGTTTCTTTGAGCTACTTGGCTTCAGATGAAAAGCCACCTCGTGATGAAAAGGGCGATGACTATTTCCAGAAAGGAGGTGGTGATGGAGGTGATGGAGGTGATGGAGGTGATGGAGGTGATGGAGGTGATGGAGGTGATGGAGGTGATGGAGGAGACGACGATGATGACAGCAGTGATGAAAGCGATGGTGGAGACGGTGGTGGCTTTTCTTTGTTTGACAATTCCAAAGTACTAACAGTGGATGTCAGTCAGGAAATCGTCATCACCAAAAAGAAGTATGGAAAGAAAGGCTCGGTCAGTTTCAGGTGTGAAATCACTTGGAAGTTTGGAATGTTGCGTGGCTTAGTCTTTGACCGATGGTGGATTGCCAAGAACGACCAAGTCTTCTACAACGACCCCAACTATACACAGGTCATTCATCCAAACCTCACCTTCGCTCAGAATGGTGTTGTTGATGGCACCACGGTCTTTTTCAAGTTGAGTGGATTGATGGGAGGTAGAAAGAGGGCTCATTCACCCAATCCATCCAAGACTGCCAACACCAACATCACTGCCAATGTCAAGAACAAGGATGAGGCATTGAATCTTTTAGAAGATGCTCTAGGAACTTCGTCAATGAGGCTTCAGGCAAATCCAAATGCAAGTCCAGTCATCACGACCATTGCGGATAAGGTGGCTAAGTTGCTTCTTGTGGTGAAGACCCAGTCCATTAGCCTTGGGGAAATCCTAAGTGGCTTGAATATTCCAGATTTGGGAAAAACTTTTGAAAATCACGGTTGTCAGCACCAAAGTGCCAGACCGTTGTCGGTATATGTCCGACCTCTGCTTTTTCAATGATGTTAGGTCATTGAAAGAACTTTAGCATCAGCACAGTTTGGCATCCAAAGCAATGCCATTGTCAATTCAGCATCTGCTTACTGAGTTTCTCGCAGATGATGGTCTGGTAGCATCAGTTGGTCTAAGTTCATTGATGCTGTAGATAAAGCAAAGACCCAGAAAGAGAAAGAACGGGTCAATTCAAGCAGAGGACTTGGAGACGATGGACTGTAAATGTACCATTTCCGGTCCTAGAAAAGCACCATTTCCAATCCCAGAAAAGCACCATTTCCAATCCCAGAAAAGCACCATTTCCAAGTCCAATTTCGGAGCAGAAGCAACACCAGTACAGGTTGCCAGAAAAACCAGCAAGACCGCTTTTGAGGTGAAAAAATGTTTCAAGTGTTTTTGCGTGTTTGACTGTTGGAGATGACCTTCATTCCCCTTTCCGCCGTGACATTTTTTTCACCCTGACAGCCTTTGATTGCATTTCTCATTGCCCGACTTGAGGTTTTGATGACATCTTTGAAGAGTTCATCATTGAGGTTCAACAGGATTTGAAGACTAAAGAGGAGAAGGGTTTCTGTTAGTATCTTATCAATATATCATGTATACACATATGTCATACACAACATCTTAAACATATATACCATCTATTTTGTCCAGACCTTGGAAAACGTGAACCTGCCAAAGCAGTCTTCAGAGCTTGACTCTTGGCGATGACTTCAACCAGAGCGTGGAGCGTGCGGAGCAGTGGAGAGATGGGGTGGGACTGTTTGTAATTATAGGTCAGTAAGATATAATATGTTGGAGCTTAGGTATAAGCGTTACTTTTGTGAAAGTGAGTGCATACTTTGTAGGGTTTTGTCTCAAATCCCAATTGTGGCAGTGTGGGGTTCCCATAGCCCCCATGCTGCGCTTGATCGTTTTAGCTGGGCTCCTTTGTGACCACAGCGATGGATGGTGGTTCAAGGGGAACACGACTGCAGCTCCACCGCCTGAGACGTCCTGGGAGAAGTTCTGGGAGCGCTGGCTGGAGATGACTGAGGCGACTGGTCAGTGGAAGGACTGGGGCGGCCGAGCTTTTGCTGATGCCCAGAGTTGGGCGGAGCGCATTGAGGTACCCAAGGTGGAGGTCGGTTTCAATTTGTGGCTGGTCATAGACACCTTGGTGGGATTCTTAGGCTGGGCCATCTTCGGAAACGCATGGCAGGGTGTCAGGTCAGGTTGTCGTAGGCTTCTGCAGATAAGTGCACTCTTTGTAGCTTGCCTTGTTGCACATTACATTTGGGCTGTTGGCTACCCTGTGGTGTCAATCATCGTTGCATGTGTGATGGCGGTGATTTGGGTTTGCAGAAGAGTTTTACGACTGGTAGGGACACTGATTTTTCACATGCATCGTTTTGCTGGAGGGGCTCCAGAAGCTGCGGACGTGGAGTTCCACGGCCCTGGAACGGGAGTGGTGCCGGAGACCTCGGTCTTACGTGGCTTCAAGAGGACAGGGGATGCTTCCAAACAGGTGGTGGTGAGGCGTGGAGACGAGGTAGCTGTCTTTAATGTCGGGAGCGATGTTCAGAACATCCGGACACATGGACTTTTCTTGCCTGTCGAAGCTGACACAGCACGTGGATCACCTGGTTTGGTTAGACGGATCTCCGCCGTTGACAAGGTTCACCTTTGCCGCAATGTGGTCTGCGGAGAAGAGGTGGGGGAGCACTTCACTGAGTATGGCGTCGTACGTCGCTTCAACCCGGAGAAGTTCCAGGTGGCTCATTCACATCAGGGTGCGATGGAAGCTACAAGAGGCATTTGGCGTTGGATCCTGCCGAAAGGAAAGCAGACGGTCGCCGATGTCGTCACCCGCATCAGAGAGTACGCATCTGAATCTGAAACTGAGGAACATCTCTGTTGCGCCAGTCGAGTGTCATGGAAGACGGCCGATGGTGTACAGTTCTTAGCTGATTCACGTTGTACAGCCGTAGGATCCGAGTTTCACCAAGCTTTAGCCGAAGACAGTGTAGATGGTGGAATTTTCCTTTGTCCCAAGCATGCAACTCACTATCTCACAAAACGGTATCCGTCCAAATGTGGTAATGTTGATTGTAACCATGTTGGAACCCAACTCCGCTTTGGTGTGCGTATGTGCAAAGCCCATCACTCAGATCGGGCTGAAGTGGAGGAGGATACACCTACCCGACGCTCACGGTCAAGATCGAGGGCCAGACCAGCGAAGGGCGAGGCTGCGCGAGGTATGGATCAAGAAGCAGATGATGAGGATGATGAGGAAAACGGTCCTTCGAAGGTTAGGACCTTGTTGGATGAGGCCGCTGACGCTGCCGACAGTCGCAGGCAGCGAAAAAGGGCTTCCACCAGATCTCCTGGTCACACCCCAAGATCCAACATTCAACGGAGCCTTGCCAGGATTGAGATGCTTAGCTCGCCGGGATCTGAGGCCGAGGTCAAGTTGCTGGAGGCGTTCATGGAATGGTTTGCAGAAGGAAAGGCTGACGGCGTGAAAGAGGAGCATGTGAGGAGAAGATTGGCGAGAGAGAGGTTGATGACAGACCAGGATGTTGTGAGAAGGCTTATTGAGGAGGCCGAGTGCGAGCAAGCCAAAGGCCAGAGGGGCCTGACCAGGTTCATCAACAAGTGGAAGAAGGAGGTCAAGGATGGGAGCACACCAGGTGAGAAGCAGGAGTCGGATTGGAGTTTCTTGACATCACCACAGTCAAGTGCAGATGCTCGCCAGTGCCCTCCACCAATTCCACCATCCTTCACAGCCCCTGTTCCAGACCCGGGCGGGGAAAGGTATGAGGAGAAGCCGGTAGCCGCGGAGAGGAGCTTCGACACCCCGCCATCGAGTGTGCAGGAGGCCAAGCCCAAGGAGCTGAGGATTTTGCCGCCTGGACTTTATCAACCCGGAGACCGTAAGGCAGGAGCTGGCGAAGCTACCGAGAGGACGGTAGAGCCGGTGGAGCAGATCGCGAAGGCTTTACAAAGTCAGACTGCTGAATTGGCCAGCCTTGTCCGACATCAAGCAGAAGGTGGAGGGTCGCAACCCCCTGGAACTTTGAAAGGTCTTGGAAAACAGTCGGAGGAGCTGGTGTTTTTGATGAGGGCCTGCGGACAGTATGAAGTGAAGGTTGGAGAAGGGGAGCATGGGCAGGCCTTGGCCAACGGTTTGATTGCAGCCCAGGTTGGGGCGGCCACCAGACTCAGGACGGCGGGGTTTCGTCAGAAGATGACGCAACGGCTTGCAATCGGTCTGGCCGGACCCTTTTGGGGCGTGCACGAACGCCACGCTCTTTCGGCTGCGGACTTCATTGGCTACACTGACGCGGAGCTGGACCAGTTTGCTTCGGAGGCACGAGGAGCAAAGAGCACTTCGGAGCAGCGCCCACCTGTCCCAACCAGGTTTGATGAATGGGTGGCCAGGGTCAGGAGGCAAACGGATGTTTGGTGTTTGGTCTATGGATCCGAATGGAGGGCAGTGAGGACCAACGCCTTGGAGCTTCTTTCAGAGTGGCACTTGAGTTCACCCCATCGGTGGCCGTTGGCAGTTGTCATGGATCTTTGGGAAGAACTCCATTGGCGGTGCATGGAGGACTTCAAGGATATCCTGAGGAAGCTGAAGAAGGAGGTAGGAAGGGAGACCATGACGTTGGCCGAGCTGAAGTTCCACGCACTCCTACCTGGACCGGATGGTCAAGCCTGGCTGGTGATGCCGAGCGTTTTTGATCTTCAACGCCCTGGGTCATGGTTTCAGGAGGAGGTGTTGCCCAGGATCGAAAGACGGCAAGAACGACTCTTGTGGCACCTCACGTGGCAAGGAGGACAGAGGCGAGATCGACCACAAGCTCAAGTTCCCAATGCAGCTGCTGGAGGGACAGACATCGACAAGCTCACCTTGAAGAACCTGTGGGGCCCGAAGCTGACCACCGAGGAGGTGAACAGAGCCAAAGAGAGAGCCCCGTTGGACAGGAGCGGAAATCTTCTATGCTGGGGAAACCTATGCCACATCGGGTGTCAGACCCAGTCATGCCAGAGGTCACATGATGGTTTGAGGGGCCCCTTTGAAGCGTTGGATCCAGCCGTGCAGATGCAGTTGCTCAAGAGGGGCGGCCTTAAGAGGATGAAGGCAGAGACAAAGGAGAGCGTTGGCGTCAAGATCAAGGACCTTCGCACCAAGGTTGAGAAGGACAAAGGTGACAAAATTCAGGATGGAAAGCGCAGAACCACCAAAGCAGGCCAAGGCCAGGGCAATGGTGAGAGCAAGCCAGCTGAGGATCAGGAGGACGTCGGGTCGAAGGCAGGTGGAATGGTTGAGAAGACGGTCAGGTTTTGGGAGCCACCAGAGGAGTTCAAGGTCGACTATACTGAGGCCGAGGATGTGAAGGCTTTGGTTGAAGGGCCACCCAAAGACTGGGGCAATGAGGGCATGCGACCCGACAAACAACATGCAGGTCAACAAGGACAGAGCGCCCCAGAAGAGGCACACCGTCTGGTGAAGGAAGCCCAGAGGCTAGCAGGGAATCCGGTTTTGAAGAGACTTGAAGGGGCATCGGACGACCTATACGCCTGGGCTGCTGCACGTGTCGCGCGAGATCCAGCTCTTCACTACGATCAAGTCCTCATTGAAATGGCGACATATGGGTTGGGGGAGCTTGCCAAGGAGGCCGCCGACCTGTTGGAGGAGGACAGAGGGCCGAAGGCGGGATCCTCACGCCTAACAGTGCAGGATGCTGTTTGGAGTGGCGGAGGACCTGGAGAAGGGAAGCTCTATCTCGACGGCAGTGAGTGGAAGTTCTTGGACTACAAGGAAGAAGTCTATATGACAGAAGAGCTGGCCGCTCTGCTGAAGTTGCCAGAGCCCGTGAAGGAGAAGCGTCAGTGCGTTACTTCGACCTTGGCGGCAGCTGTCTTCAAGAAACAGTATGGCAGATGGCCTGGCATGGGAGAGGCCCAACAGGTCGCGCAGAGGATCAGGTTGGAACAGACCCGCCTTGCTGCAGAAGCTGCGGTCAGTTTGGGTGAGCCAGAGGAGATGGTCTCGGCAGTCGAACATGAGGCTAGGATCTACGTCCATGACCTCGTGACCGCCCACCATGAGAAGGATTTCCGGTGCTTGGCTATGTTTCCGGTCGCCGATCTACAAGAGGCAAGGATTGTTGTCTTCAGAACAGACTTCAAAGGAGGCTTGCTGGTCGAGAGCGTGGTGGGCAGCCAATGGGCTCCAGGAGGATGGACGATCCCTGTCCTCATTTGGAAAGGCCATATGGTTGTCTTGGAGCCTCCGGAGAATGTGGATGTGACGGCCTTCTTGGATGATGAGGAGCATACAGCAACACCTGCGTTTGGCTTCACTTTCTTCTGGCACTCCAGACATGATCAACCTCGGACAGCACCAGGACGCCTTCACTGCCGGTTGTGCAAGGGCGCCATGAGGAAGGCAGGAGAAGCGCCACTGTGTCGTCCCAAGAGCTGCCTTGCCATGATAGCGACGATGGGCCCGCAAGGTCAGGATGAGACACAAGTCTTGAGAGGAGTTGCACCGGTGTCGTCATCGAGTACCTCCAATGGCCTGGTGTTGCAGGAGGTGTTTGCAGGTACTGGCAGGATAACAAAGGCTGGAGAAGAAATGGGGTAGCTTTGGAACCGATTGAAGTGTACACCGACCCTCATCACAAGAAAGGTTACAGGAGGGAGCATGACTTGCTCAAGGAGGATGTGAGGCAGAAGGTCAAAGACAAGTCAAAGCACGGTGACGCAAACGTGTGGTGGATTGCTGCCCCATGCACCAGCTTTTGTGATTGGCAACTTGAAAACGGAGGAACACGGACGTTTGCTCAACCAGAAGGCACAGGCGAAGGACCGCTTGGCCAAAGGGAGCAGGAGGGCAATACGTTGTCTACGTTCTCGGCGGAGCTCTTTGAGGAGGCCTTGGATCATGGCCAATTTCCCATCTGCGAGTCAACGGCGGCAAGTGGTCGGTACCCGAAACAATGGGATCTACCAGCCTGGCGCCGGGTGTTGAGCAGAGAAGATGTCGACTACATCGACTTCCCGATGTGCCCCTTTGGGCTGGGCCCTCCGGACGACCCCACGGCATTCTATGTGCACAAGACCAGGTTGGTTTTTCCCAAACATTGGCCGCTTCGACAGGTTCTTCTTCGTCAATGTCCTGGCTTGAGTTCCAAACACCGACACGTTGGTCTACGAGGGCAAAGGCAAGGCCAAACAGTGACGAGATGTACGGAAGCTGGGGCCTATGCATGGGAGTTTGTCACCACGGTCGGCTTTGCAATCTTCTTTGGGGGGGGGAGGTTTTTTACACCACAGCAACCCCGGGAGAAGGATGTGCACGCTGGAGGCAAAAGGGGACGTGATGATGAAGAGAGCGGAGGACCGGCAAAGGGTTCACATGATGCAGGAAGAGGAGGAAACCGCAATGTATATGAGGACCTCGACGAGGACACCAAAGAGTTTCTGGAGTTTGCTTGCGAGGAAGAAGACCTAGAAAGGCTGAGGCGAACCGGGAGGTTAGGGAAGGAGACGAGCCATGAGCAACAGGACGACTCAGAGGACACCAGTGTCGAGGACCCTCTTCCTCCGAACGAGACCATCGAGCAGTTTTTGGATGAGGTTGTTCCCCACCCAGGGGACCTTGAGGAGGACGAGGGTGCTGAAGGTGAAGCCACCGAAAGGAGTCGGCACGAAGGAGATGGCAGGTCAGACAGGAGTCATGGATCCTCTGGGGAGGAAACTGACAGGAACGACATCGGCCTTGAGTCCGAGAGTGAGGGTGCACTGTCTACGTGCTCCAGAAGGAGCAGAGACCTTGACGTAGAGGAGAGTGCGCAGGTGAGCTCGAGGAGTGGGGCCTATCAAGCTACAGGAGACCCTGAGGTGAGCGACTTCTGGAAGGTGATCTACAACCGACCCTACAAGCGTGTGAGAGTGCACGCAAGAAAGAGGAGACACCTTTATGTACCGCAACAGAGCGAGCTTCCTTTCCCTCTGTCTTGCTTGAAGAATGACAGGAGGACGGTTTTGGTCAACCAACAGAATATCAGAGTTGTGATTGACGACAACTGGCGGACTGCTGGGGAGGTCAATGTCGGTTATGGAGAGTGGTGTGGTTTCACCTTCTTCAAGCTGCTTGGTGGGCCTGATGAGCAACAGGCCGGGGATGGAGACCCTGATGACTTCAATGATTACTCCCCCGATGATGAGGATGCAGATGCACCCGATCCGGAAGGGGCAGAGGCCACGGAACCTGAGGACGCAGAGCATAGAGATCCGGGGACTTCAAATGAGGAGGCCACGGGCCGCAGAGGAGCAGGTGCCACCGAACCCAATGCCACAGACCACAGAGGCGCGGTTGCCACAGACCACAAGGCAGGTGAGGCGGCGGATGGAGCCACAGACCACAATCAGGATGGAAAGGGCACAGACCACAAGCGGGATAAGGGCAGTGAGTATGTGTACTTGGCCCCATCGGCCGAAGCCTATGATGCAGCGCTGTCCTATGTGGAGAGCGTTGACAAGGAATTTGACAACACAGTCCTGGGATGGCAGAGTTTGGTGGACAAGGGCAACAGGTTGGTTCGAAGCGCGGGCAGTGTCGAGAAGGCGGCAGAGAGCCTGTGGCATGTCCGGGAAGACAAGGGCTTGATGAACCTCAGCGGCATAGATCGAGAGGAGTTTGAGGAGGTGCTTCACCCGGATCTGCTGCAGTACCTCAGGTCAATCCGGAAGGAGGGCATGCCAGCACGGTATGTCGGGAGCCGGCACAGAGTGAAGGCAAAGCTCCACCCGAATGCGCGACGCAATGTGGATCAGGTCTATCACCAGGTCGCCAAGGACGTGAAGAAGCACAGAGCGTTGGTTGTCGATGGAGAGCTAGAGGAGCTGAGTACCACGGTCTCTTCACCTTTTGAGGCAGTCGACAAGCTTCTCCCTGACCGGTCCATCAGCAAGGAAAAGCGCATCGTGCACGATCAGAGGACGATCAACCAAGGGACATCAAAGTTTTGGCACCCACCTGCACTTCAACCGATGCATGTCCAAGTGGCTCGAAGGGTGATGTGGATGAAAAGCCGCTACCCAGGTGTGCCGATCCTAATGTCAAAGAAGGACATTGCGGGAGCATTCAGGCTTATCTGGGTAGCACCTTGCGACGTCGAGCTCTTCGCTGGGGATTTGCCATGGCAACCTGACCGAGCCTTTGGAGAAGACTACAAAGGAGCAACCTCGCCGACGAAGGGCGACATCACGGTCATCTACCTTGTCTCCAGTTTCGGGTTTTCAGGATCACCCGGAGAGTGGACCATGTGGGGCAGAGCCACGGAGGAGTACCATCGAGGGCACCGACCTATGGATCCGAGGAGGGACCTCAATTTGGGCTTTGACGCGAAGGTGTTGGTCGATGACTGCATTCTCATCGAACCCTGGATCGGCTACAGACCCTGGGTTAGTGCGGAAGTGTTTGAGGACGGAGTGAGGAAGATGCTGGGCGACAAGGCCATCAACCAGGACAAGGATGGCGTAGAAGGTATGTTCCGCACTTCGCAGACTGTGTGGGGAGTGATCATGGAGACGGACACCGAGAAGGCCATGTTGCCGGAAAGGAGGATCACCAAAGGAGCAGTCCTATTGTCGGAGGCGTGCTTCGACTTCGGGTGCTACCACATCACGCTCAAGCAGATGCAGCAATTCAGAGGCATCATGACCGGATGGGCGTCCATTGTGCAAGGGCTGGCCAATGAGCTTAAGGCGGCGGACAAGTTCTTGCGTGGATGGAACGGGGCAGCCGGTTGAGGTCAACCTGAAAGGCGATGGCACCCCGAGTTGGGAGACACAGAAAGCTTGGGAGGATCTGTGGGAGCTCTTCGAAGTGTGCAGGTGGCTGAGTGCAAGGACAGACCAATGGGACTTGCTATTCGCTACGACCCTGAGGAGGATGCTGCCGCCCATGGAACGTCTGGCTTTACCACAGGAATGGAGCGATGTTGTCTTTGTCTCATCCGACTCCACTCCACACATGTTGGGTGCCATTGATTGGAAGAATGGTCAGGTTTTTCGTGAGAAGTTTTCCTCCTTGAAGCCGTGGATCGAGAAGGTGCTCACCGATGTGGAGACCCAGTCAGAGGAGGACGAGGTCGTCATCCATTTGGGCGAGATGTTGTCCTTTGTGGCATTTGCGTGTGCAATGGGCCCAGCGTGGAAAGGACGTGTGGTCATTTACGCGGGGGACAATGTGATCGTCAAACACTGGTTGAATACCCGACGTAGCCGGGTGAGAGGCGGACGCATTTTGGTCCGGGTGGTGAACATGATCGAAATGCGGTGGGGTTGTCAAATCCTGTCTGGCTGGTGGAGAACATACCACAACGTGGACGCCGACTTCATCACTCGTTGCACGGATGAGGAGTACGAGAAGTACAAACAGGAGCGAGGGTGGAGCGAGGTCAGCGTGAAGGACCAGGTGCATCAGGCGCTCAAGGACACCGAGCTCTTCGGCCCGTGTTTCTTATACGGAACCGACGACCAGGACAGAAGGCTGTTGATGCAACTTCGTGAACGGCGAGTACAGAGGCAGCTTCAGAAGGAGATTGGAGTGGATTGGCCACTGATCAGAGTGATGGAATGGTCGGCAGCTGGTAGAAGAGTGAAGGATTTTGAAGAGGTTGCAGGACACCTTGGCGCCCAAATCGACGGTCAGGCAGAAGGAGGCCCTTTGATCCTATGTGCTACGCTTGGTGTGGACAGCCAAGGCCGCCAGCTTTGCAAGGTGATGGACACAGCGAATGAAGTCAAAGCCTGGATTGCAGTCGTGGAGGGACCCAGAGCGGTTGCCTGGGAGCTCGGAGAACGAAAGTGCAAACTACGAGGCTGGAACTATGCGATTGTGGAGTTCGTGACCACGGAATTCGGCGAGGCTATGGCGAGGAGACGCCGTTGCATGTTTATCAGTACAGAAGGCATTTTGCCGGAAGGATGGGATGAGAGTTTGGTGAAAGTGGGCGCCCCAGTGCCTGTCCAGACGCTGTTGAAATCCAAGCCGTGGGAGGACATGGTTTGGAGAAGACCTGTACGGCTTGAGTTGGAAAGCGGAATCCCTCGAGACCGAATGCTTCCCAACCCAGTGGGCCACTTCTTCATGGAAGACGCTGAGCGGCTCACTTGTCACGGAGTTGATGGACCAGCACCGTGGCCAAAGATTGATGAGGTCACCAATCGGGCAAAGGAAATTTTGATGTTCGACAGGAAGGGACCGCCAGGACACATGCGAGAACTCACTGTGGAGGAGATATGGGTCCTTCAAGGACGCAGTTTGGTCGACCTCAAGAAGCACAAGGATGCATCTTACATGGTCGCAGAAGGCTGCAGGGCTACGGGTACCAGAACGGCATCGGCTCTGTTGCTGTGCGCCGGCCAGGTCGTGGAGAGCAAGCTTGGGGAAGCCGCAGCTCGGGCAGGTGGATGCAGAGAGCAGGAGGGCCCGGAGGCGTTGGCCCAAATTTTGGTTTGGCTGAGAAAATGGAAGAGAGGAGAGTTTGGGAGGCATGCTGGGGGACGAATCGACAGCTTTGAGGACCGTGTGGTTTACAGATGGGCCGAATCATGGTGGTTATCTATGCTTGAGGAGTCAGAGGATGAGGCAGAAGTTTGGAGAGCAGGAGGCAGAAGGAAGAAATCTGACCCTTCTGAAGTTGCAGAGAAGGTCTCGAAGCAGTTCGTCACAGCACTGGGTCTCCAAGTTCGACCCTTCCATGGAGAAGTCAAGGAGAGGATCGATGAATGGCTGGAGGAAAATATGTGTGGCGACAAGGCGCCGGCAACTGAGAAGGCGTATGCCAACGCCTGGGCAAAGTGGCAAGCTTGGGCCCGACGCCAAGGATGGCTGTCAGAATATCTGGACAGAAACCAAGATGTGGTTGAGCGTGAAAACCGTTTGCTTGGTTACGTTGGATACCTTGGCTGGTTGGGTGCCTCGGCGAACACCATCAGGCAGAGCCTTTTTGCTATCAAGACAGCTCACAAGAGGGTGGGCGCAGGAGACATCACAGAAGGCATGCACCGAATCTGGATCTTGCTGGGCGGCTTGGACAGGAGGTCAACGACCAGAAGGCCAAGGAGACTGGGCGTTACGCAAGAGATGTTGGAGTGGCTCGGTGAGGAGCTTGTCGGGGCCTTTGGAGGAGAAAGGTCCGGCCCAACCTATGCGGACTCAGTCATGGTTTTCACGGCCCTGTCGACAGCTTGGTTTTTTATGTTGAGAGCGAAGGAGTTCGGAGAATCGAATGGAGTGGACATGGAAATGGTGGTTCGAGGACAGGACTTCCGCTTCTCCAAGAATGGCCGACCAGCAGCAGAGGAGGCGGAAGAAGTGACACTCACCTTTCGCAAGACGAAGGTCGACCAGCTGGCTTTCGGTGATGCAAAAACTTTGAAGTCAACAGGGAGAAGGTATTTGTGCCCAGTGGAGGCGTTGGTGCGGATGAGAAAGATCTGGCCCAATCGATTCCAGAAAGGGCATGGTGAGAGCTGCCTTCCGCTCTTCAGGTGGGCGTCAGGATCAGTGCTGAAAAGGCTGGAAGTTCAGCACCTACTTCAGAAGGCTGCAGAGGGAGTAGGCCTACAAGGTGACAGATATATGGCGCACAGCTTGAGGATTGGAGGAGCAACAGCTTTGTACCAAGCCACAGGAGACATTGAGCTCGTCAAGCGCATTGGAAGGTGGACGTCGTCAGCAGTCCACAGGTACCTGGAGGATGGAGGTACCATTTCCAATGCGTCCAGAAAGATGGCTGATGTTCGCCTGAAAAACATTTGA